TATACAGCCAATGAGCCTGGCCATGCAACTGGTCGATAAATGGTATGGTATAGGGTAAAGAAAGATAATAAACGATTCGCGCCCGCGCGCGCCGGCAGTTGCGGCGGGTGCGGGTGGCAGTTATCTCGACTCGCCATTTGATAACCTCAAGAAAGGCATGCGCCCGGTATCGTTTCCAGGCTTTCTTTCGGCACCCACGGCCGCCTGATCCCCGCCCGATCTGATATCCAGCGTGCCCGGCGCCGGGTCCGCGGCATCTTCATATCAGGATAGCGGAGTCGTTGAAGGACAAGCATCAGGCCTGGCAACCTTCCCGCCTCGGCCAGCCCCGGCGTTTGGCGCTTGAGCCGACAACAGGCGGCGCGGTCTCGGTCTGAAAAGCAAGTGCTTTGGGCAGCAGGGCCCGTCGCGATTTGCAAACGCAGCGTATCGCGGCGCAGAGTGAGTGACAAACTTTCAGCCGCGCAAGGGATACGGCGGGCCGCCGATTTTCGGTCATGCGTCAATGCACCAAAGCGCTCTGGAATCAGCGGCGGATCAAGATCATGGGCCCATCTATTCTGCACGAAACACACCGCCTGCCAGGCCGCGCCGGTCGATAGTCGGCGCTCGACGCCAAGGTTGGCAATTGTTCGTGCCCGCGCGCCAGAACCTTTTCTGTTTTCATTCCCTGTCAGCAATGTCGATCAGATGCCCGGGCCCCAAAATAGTTCACCGTGCGCAGGTGATGGTGCCGAGCAGGTCCTTGCGAAACGCTTCAGTTCATCAACAGGTGTCAGCCGGGGTTTCGCAAAAAAGCTCCGCAATTGGCCGAGTCCAGCCTACAGGTTTCACGCGCAATAGGCCCAAAAGGGTGACACGGCGACATTTTCAGCGCGCTCGCCAGGGACCCAAAAGAGGCATCAATACGCTCCCGTGATCGGCCATTGTCGCCGCTCTAGGGGGGCCAGCCCCTCGTCCAATCTGGGACGCGGCGAAGGCGAATGTCATCCGCGCCAAAAAGCGTCCAGTGTTGTCTGCGGCGGGCCCTCATGCACGGCCCAGAGCGCCACGCGATTTCCTGATAGTAGGACTCGATTCGATTTGGGCGAATCAAGCATCGCGCCACCCATCGGATATCGGCTGTCCACACCGTCAATGCCAAAGGCCACGGTGGCAACCAGCTAATCAGCCATCCGTGCGTTGTTGAAGCGGGTTTTGAACAATCCGGCGTCTTCGGCTGCCGATGCCAGCCGAGAGTGATAATGAGCAGGCGTTGTGGGCCGCCATCCCGCAGGGCCTTGCCAGGGTTTCTGTCTTGGCGCGGGTGCACACTAGACAAATCCGCCGACTGGGCCCTTGCGGGCAATCGGTGCAAACTCCAGAATCTGGCGGCGCGGGCTGTCCTTTGCGGCAAAGGCGAAGATGGATATTGGGGGCGTGCAAACCGTGTAGAAAACTCTGGGCGGTGGCTGCCCGTCAAATCAGTTTTTCAACTTTCGTCGCGCAGTACTTCGGCATCGCTGTGGGCGGTATAATAGGCCGCGAGTGCACATTCAAAGCGCGGCGCAAATCAACGCGATGGCGCAGATAATCCGGGCGAAAAAATCATGCCCGGCCAAATTGGCGAGACACAATGGGCTCGTCCGACGCTATCTAGCGACACGCCAAAATGCGCCGCAGCAATCCCCATGGCTGACCCCGTGCTGCCACCGCTCGGGGCGAATATAGAGCAGCTTCAGACGCACCATCTTCAAGGGCGCCTGCCAGACCTCTTCGGTTTCTTCTTCGGTGTTGCCGAGGTGAGCGCGCCATGCCTCAACCGCGGCGGCCCGCAAGGCACGAACCTGATGCGCGCAATCAAGAGGCAATCAGCGGGGAAAATAACCAACCGCGTCCACCGTCCCGTCGCACCCCCATGCAGCGCGGGCAACTGGAATACACAAGCGATGTTGCGCACCAACCCGTGGCATGATGGCGTCAAGCACATTTCTGGCCTTCGAAACGCCGGTTTTACGATGTCTCCTGACCGGGGCGGAAGCGATCAAACCAAAGACGTCGGCGCAAAAAGCGTGGGCAGCGCTTGGCATGTGAGGGGTGCCTGTTATAGGATTTTGGACTTAGCTTTGCTCTTAGCAGAAGTCTTTTCCAACTGAAAGATTCGGCCATGAAGCAAAGTTGGTGGTCGCCATTTGAGTCAAGTAGAGAATGATGCCGGCATTGATGTGCGGATCAGAATGAGTCGCGCAACGATAAAACAAGGCTGATCAGTGCTAACAAGCGGCGTCGCAATAGAGAATTCTTTTTATCAACGGTCTTGACCATCCTGAGACCCGATGGGGAACCCTGAGAAATGGTCGTGCGGCTTCCATACAGCGTTCAAGTGACGCGATTAAGCAGTATGCAGACCCTGCCGCGACAAAAAAGGTTGGATGGGCAGGTTGAAGATTACTGACTGGAAAATTGACTACCAGGCTCATGATCACGTGGGCAATGATAAAAAAGCCACACGATATCCAAGAACGAGCATGCAAAGATCTGAAACCAGGACTGGCATGGGCACACTTTCCTTTGGTCAATCTGCCATGACCTACACGCGCAGCCTCAAAAGCCAAGCGGCAGTCCGACGGCGAGGTGGGTTGACGCTGGCTTAGTACCCGGCAACGACAAGGTGGGCGCTGAGAGCGCGCGCAATGTAGCGCCTGCCATCGGCACGGGCCAAAGAGAAAAAGGAAAAGAAAAAAGAAAGGAATAAAAGAAAAAAAAGAAAGAAGGAAAAGAAGAAGAGATGAAAAAGAAACAAAGAAAGACAACACCCCCGGTCTGGAGATTAAGCGTATGGAAACATTGAAACACTATGTAACCAGAGATGAGGACCAAGTATAAAGCCAAGATGCCACACTTGAAACAGCTGATTACACTCTCTGCTGCTTTCTCCCTGCAACCCTGCAGCCCAACGTCCTCCTTCTTACTTCTGACGCTTTGACCTTGTCTCTGCTGACTCTGGGGCTTCCAACTCTCACCTCCTGTCTCATCTCACTCAGCTCCTTTCTGAGCATCCTCCTCACTCCTTCCATCTTCCCACCTTCGAAATTCTCCCTGATTATCGAGGATACTTTCGCGGCTTTTGTTTATGTTTGCCTGCACACCTCTTTTGTCACAAGGCTCCTTTCTCGCAACCTCAAGATGTACAATCTGAGGCACCCGTGGTAAAGACCTCATCTCACATCTGAGCGATTCTCTCTTAGCCCAGTCACCAGCGCATGTCTCATGGTCTATCCACTAGGTCCTTGCGTCTGTTAGTGTAGCCAGCCTCCATTACCCTCTGCCGGTAACTCATCACCTCAGGATGAAGTCGATGGGTGATTCGTTGGTCCTTGGACCGCTGAGCACAGGCTCTGGTAGAGCTCCGGCCGTCCTCTACTTGGTAATGGCTGGCTAAAATGGCATTACCTCCCATTAGCGCGATGTCTCCTCCGCCCCCAAATAGCCTTGACTGTAACTTCGGCGCTATTGCCCTTAAACGCCCTGGACTAATTCCCTCTCCGTTACCCCTCTCTCTCGGCCCTGTCGAGGCTGATGCTGTACTGACGGCATATGAGAGAGTCGCTAGGGTCACCCAGCTCACCAATTTTACCCACAATGACAAAGTCCTCTTGAGGGTCACCGACTCCGGACCGCGGGCTGCACCTCGCAGCTGTCTCTCCATAGCTGCGTTAGCATGTTGATATGTTCCAGCAGCTGAGTCTCCACCACACGTTGCAGGTCCATGGTAGGTTGTACAGAGGAGGCGGCGGACTGGCTGTTCCTGTACCGCAACAGCGCATCCTGTTCCGCGTTCGACATGCTGTTATTCTAATTCAGGGGCCCCACTTGCGGCGCAATGTTACCGGTACTTTAAATGTGTCTTATCACTATTATCAGTACAAATACCAGTACCTCGGGGTTCAGGCCCCTGTCTAGTGGTTGCGAAACGCTCACCCAAGTATTTCCAATAACAGCAACACTCCAAATGCAGTTAACAACTTATATATCCTTCCAAACACACATTGATTTGCCAAACACGATTTCTCTCCTTCTCCCGCGTCACTTTCTCCCTCACAACACGCACGCCAGCGCCATCTATCGTTGCATAAACTATCAACGAACAACTCTACATAACAATATAACTAACCGCTACATTGTACTTGTTTTTAGCTCATTTCATCAAGCAAGTCGGAAATGTAACTACATCGATGCATGATTTATTATTAGACATTACTGTTATTTAATATACACACATGCCAAACATTGATAAATGGCAGAGGTCTGAGGTGGGGGGGGGCAAATTAGCCCCTCCCCACTATGCAAGACACGTTTGGCAATGATTGATCATGCCTACATACACGCTTCGCACTACGAGTGAGAGGCGACAACGCCTAGACCGAGGCCTGCAGTCTCTCATCGCACGAGTCGTCGTGAATTTCACGTACCTGCTCATCTTCCGTGAGTAGCGTTTTGACTGGACCTCCGTGACATCGATGATGTGCGGCGCGTTCTGCTGCGGCCTTGTCAGCTGCGATCCTGCTGGTTATGTTATAAACACATAGCCGTGCTTCAGGACGCAGACAATGATTTTGCCCCATTGCTCGAAGTATAGCTTTAAGCTCTCCTTGGTCGTCTCGTGGCTGAGCCCACCGATGAATATGTATCTTGTCAATTTCAGGCTTGAACACCTGCCACCTGAATGAACACAGCCTTGAACGCTTAATTATTTTCAGATCTGTCAAAAATTACTTGCAATCTATGAGCCGTTTAAGGTCTCTTTTTGGTTCAGTGCATATCATTTACCAGGAGTGTATAATATAATGAGATCTATATATATAAATAGATAGATAGATAGGGTATGTCATATAGTGTCGGTAGTCGAGGAATGCTGTAGACGATGATATTTATTTAGACTGTTTACATCATGGCTCAAGCCAAGCCGCGGAATGCACTACTTCCATCTGATGTATCACTACGCTACTATTGCATTTATGTAAAGCGTCGCTGTGACAATACGCATACGAATGTAGTTCATCTGTGAGACTGAACTAATGATATCACATCCCTCTTTCTTAGAGAAGAAAACATTACTGTGAGGTATGATGAATACAATCAAGGCTTTTGAAAGAAATACGTGAATAACCTTTACACTTGTAGTATTATACTGAAACTACTATCTACGTAAGCTTCGCTGGATGGGCATGTTTTCCATTACAATTCTTTGGAAATATATAACTGGATAAATCACTGAATGACACATCTGCTGTCATAAACAAATAAAACATTTTCCACCCATTTATGATTTGTGATTCGTTTCACATTTTGCAGTTACAGGTCAAGCCTCCTGGGAGACTTAATCGGTCTACCTGCCCGAGTACGGTAACTGGTGTCACTGTCACTTGGAGGGATGTCAGGCTCTTTGAACCGGACATGTTTTGGAGATCTCACTTCCGCTGTTGGTTCACGGGTTTCAGGACCGGCCGAATCTGACGGGATGTGGAACTGCTCTGGAGTCTCCCGGATGTGACGGCGGTTCCTTCTGAGTGTAGATCCGTTCGTTGTTTTGATCTCGTATGACCGTGGAGCTGTAAGCTTCTCTGTGACAACTGCTGGCTGCCATTTACTGGTGCTTTCCTCTTGTATACGAACAAACTGACCCGGTGTCAGGGGTGCCAGACTTCCTCCTGACTTTTGGTCATGGTATTGTTTCTGCAGGACTTGCCTGTCTTGCAGTCTCTGCATGATCATGTCTCTCTCTGTTGCTCTGTTCGGAATCTTGGTGGGAAGATTCGCTCGCATCTTGCGATTGTTCAACATCTCTGCTGGGGATGGCAGATGACTGTCGACTGGGGTTGTCCGAAGTATGAGTAATGCCATCTCTGGGTCAACTTTGGCGATCGTTGCTTTCGTCAGCGTGTTTTTGGCAGTTTGCACCTGGCGCTCAATGAAACCGTTGGACTGTGGGAATCTAGGGCTGGATGTAGTGTGTCGAAATTCCCACTTTTCTGCGAACTGCTTAAACACATAGCTGTCGTACTGGGGGCCATTGTCGCTCACGACAGTGTCTGGCACTCCCTGTTCCGCAAAGATCCGTTTCATCATGCCGACTATGATGTCACTCGTTGCCCTCCCTCGGATTTTCCTAACGATGGGGAATTTCGAGTAGTAGTCGCACACGATGAAGTACTCATCCCCGTTGAGGTGAAATAAGTCAGTTCCAACAGTCTCCCAGGGCCTGGTAGGTATCTCATGTTGTAGCAATGGTTCAGGTCTCTGGGCCTTCTGCTGCTGTTGGCAAATATCACACCTTTGGATCAGGTCTTCGATATCCCCGTTTATATTGCGCCAAAATACACATGTGCGTGCACGAAGTTTCGTCTTCTCCATACCCTGGTGTGATTCATGCAGTTTTGTGAGGATGTAGTCGTGCATGGACTCTGGGATGATTGCTCGTTCACCTTTCATGATGATTCCATCTTGTACCGTCAGTTCATCCCTGTAGGACCAATATGGCCGCACTGCGTGTGGCAACTGCACCCGTCGCTCCGGCCATCCTTGCATGATGACCTCCTGCAACTCACGCAGCTCTCTATCTGCCACTGTCGTCTCACGCAACTCGTCCCGTTTCTGAGCCGAGAATTGGACGAGGTCGACTCTGACGTCCAAGTCAATAGCTCTGCTTTCCTTTCCAGGCGTACGGGAAAGGGCATCTGCTAGCATAACTTCTTTTCCAGGTTTGTATTGGATTGTCAAGTCGTAATGCTGAATGCGAAGGAGCATGCGCTGCAGTCTTTGTGGTGCAGCTGAGATGTTCTTCAGGTGAATCATCTCCAGCGGTTTGTGGTCAGATTCCACAAGGAAGTGTTTGCCATACAGGTACGTATGGAATTTCTCGCAGCCATAGACTACGGCGAGTAATTCACGTTCAATGTTCGCATAACGTTGTTCACAGTCACTAAGCGATTTGGACGAGAATGCGATAGGCTTGCCATCTTGTATAAGGACGGCCCCCAAGCCTCTGCGTCAAGCATCCACTTGGAGTACAGATGGTTTTCCAGGGTCAAAGTAGCTGAGGGTAACCTCACGACAAATGAGACTTTTGACTTTGTCGAAGCTGGCTTGATGTGACCCTGTCCATCTGAAGGTCGATCCTTTCTTGAGGAGTTCTCTCAATGGTGCTGTGTGCTGTGAGAGATGTGGAAGGAAAGGCGACATGTATGTCGCGATGCCTAGGAATTCCATCAGTTGCGTTGCATCAGCTGGTGCAGGCATATGCTGTATGTCCTCGACCTTGTTGGGGTCAGGTTGGACTCCCTGGGCACTGTACACAAGACCAAAGAATATTATACTTGGCCTGTTGATTTCACACTTGTCCAGGTTGAAGACAAGACCGTGTTCACGTGCGACCTTGAACAGGTTATGTACGTTCTTGTCGTGTTCCTTCTGGTCTCTTCCAACCACTGCTACGTCGTCGGCAATGCCAACAGTTCCTGGGCAGCTTTCAAGGATTCCATCCATTTTCTGTTGGAATAAATCCTGGTTCAGTGAGAGTCCAAATGGTAGACGTCGAAAACAGTATCTCCCGAATGGACTGTTAAACGTTGTCAGCAGGCTAGACTCGTCATCTAGTGATATGGACCAGTATCCATGTCGAGCGTCCAATTTTGAAAAAACTGTAGCTCCCGTGAACTTGTGTGTTATCTCTTCCAAGGTGGGGGTTTTATAGTGAGGGCGTTTGATCGCCTTATTCAGGTCCTTGGGGTCGAGACACACACGTAGTCGGCCATTCTGTTTACGTGCGTATACCAAGCTGGAAACCCAATCGGTAGGTTCAGTGACACGATCGATCACCCCTAGTTTCTCCATTTCATCCAGTTCGTCTTTGATGTCATCCTTCAAGTGTATTGGACACTTCCTAGGTGCATGGACAACTGGCGGCACAGAGGTGTCGATGGTGATATGTGCTCTGCCTTTGAAGCTTCCTATGCCATCGAAACGGTCAGGATATATCTTCAGTAAGTCTTCCTTACTGCTGATCGGCTCCAATCTGGACGTGCTTGGCTGCCTGTTGATAGTGCAATTCAGTTGCACGAGTTGTAGGTTAGTGCATGTGGGAAGTCCTAATATTGCAGGTCCCTGTGTATCAGACACGTAGAATTCAGCCTTGTTTGTCATCCCTTGGTAAGAGCATGGTATGTTGATAACACCGTACTGTGGAATTCTGGTTCCATTGTATGCACTAAGTATGGTGTTTCTCTGTGTTGTGGCGTTCTGTCTAGGATAGCCTTGTGCGTCAAGCTTCTCAGGGTACATTCTTCTAAATATACGTAAAGGCAAGATATTGCTTTGTGCACCGGTGTCGACCTTTGCCTTCAGTGTCACCGGTGTGCTTGGTTTATTTTCCAACACAATGTCAATGGTTGCGAAAACTTCATCTCGTGTACCATTATTGCCACTTATGCTCTCGACGTGTAACGACTCAAATTTGAGAGATTCCAGGTCACTCTCTATAGCTATGACGTCTTCTTGGCGTCTTGAATGGCGTCTGCTGTTTGAAGGGTGGCGCCCCCTGCTGGGAGACCTTGGCCTGTCCCTTCCGCTTCGAGGTCGTGACCTTGGCCTAGACTGCTTGTAGCGAGGCTTTGAATTCTGCGATAAGCACTCGGACTGCCAGTGGTTATACTTGCCACACGCATCGCATATGGCACCAAAGGCAGGGCATTTCTCCCGAGGTGTCGGGGGATGATTGCCGCCACAGCAGTAACATCGTTTATAATATTTGTGACTCTGTACACTGCGTTTCACTGTGTTAACTTGTGCTTCACTCGACATTTGCAACTCCTTCATGTGCTGATCAGTAGCTTCCTTGGTACGCGCTATGTTCACTGCTTGGTCAAGGGTGAGCTTTTCGTCTGCCCCTAACAGTGTTTCTTGTATTTTCTTATGGCGCGTTCCGATGATCAGCTGTTCTATGAGACGTTGCGACGTTTCAGTGTCGCCATTGAATTTACACTTTTGTGCCTGGAGTTTGCACCGTGTCATGAACTCATCGATTGATTCGGATGTTGACTGCCTGAACTTCTGTAAGTTGAACCTATGGAGACGGAAGTTTGACCGTGGCTCCAAATGTTCCTCAAATTTCTGCCAGATTTTATCAGGGTCGTTCTTCTCTTCATCCGTGAGCGTCCAGCTATTAAATATGCGTAAACCTTCTTGGCCTACCCACAGGAGAATGTACGTTAATTTTTCTTCCTTAGTCTTCTCTTTAAATGGACCGCTGAATATCAAGTTACAAAACTGCTTGAAAGCACGAAATGTACTCACAATGTCTGCATTGCTCCACTCCATGTGTGGGGGGTTTATACCCGACAAGTCAGTCATGATTGTACTGTAATGACACGTATGTGTATAACGCTCACAGTCACAGTACAGTGAAGATAGGTATCACCAGTGTTCTTGAATCTTGACCGGTTAGTTGTCGTTAACCGAACGATGAATATCGATCAGTGCGTGTAGTATACACTGACTGGTACAGTCGTGTGCCACTGTGTGTATTCACGGTATGCATTGTAGGTCTACTCGACGACTGTGTAGGCTGGTTGCGCACATAGCCGGAATACGCATTGCCACTTGAATGCAGAAACGGATTTCATATGAAACTTGCACGTAACACAACCGTCATTTGCACAAACATCGTTGCGCCTAGCGTGATTTCGACATTGTTGCAGCAAACAGTCATTGGCGCTCATTATAACGCATGTACAGCATAGCTTGCCTTTGTCCGTCGTGTGCTGGCGAAGAGCGCATCGATCCGGTCGGTACAGGAGAAGTAAGAATTCTCCGTCGTGTGTTGGCGTACGGTGACGAAATGTTGCAATAACGTCTACCAGTTCATCATTTACGGAAATATCGTACTTTCCGCTGCCACCATGTCATATAGTGTCGGTAGTCGAGGAATGCTGTAGACGATGATATTTATTTAGACTGTTTACATCATGGCTCAAGCCAAGCGCGGGAATGCACTACTTCCATCTGATGTATCTCTACGCTACTATTGCATTTATGTAAAGCGTCGCTGTGACAATACGCATACGAATGTAGTTCATCTGTGAGACTGAACTAATGATATCACACTACTCACTCTGAGTTCAGAGTTTCAGTTCAGATGCTACGATCTCAGAATGCATTGTACCATTCCAAAGCTATGCATTTTCTGATTCAATACAAAAATTTCTTAATTTCAATGTGCATGGTTGCGCGCCAAGCATTCACTAGACAATATCCAGTGGACACATACCCCACTCGCTGGCCTGTCTCTATCTATACTATATATGGAATTTCTTTTATTCGTGGTACGATCTCACAATGTATAGCTGCACGTGGGGAGCTCAAGAGTTCGATACGCCAGGAATCTCTACATATTTCCACCAGAGAATAACACGAAAAACATTGTTTATCAAGAGGCTTTCAAATGAAAAGTCCCATTCGTACATGCTGTTATATA